CTGCTGATAGTGCGGATTGTGCTGATTGCGTTGCGAGGGTGGTGTTGAACTCCTTGAGCTTCTTCATAATGCCGTCGTATTGCGCTGAGTCAAAGACCAGGTAGCCCCTCTGGTCAAAGGGAAGGAGGGGGTGGAGGGATGCAGGAGAGAGTGAGAATGTGGGGCATGGCAAAAAGAGACTTAACATGGCATGACAAGGCATGCACCGCATGCACTAATTCCCCTACATACAGTAGATACAGCAATCATGCGTGTCTAGCACAGGAATCATGGCATGACATGGCATGGAAAGGTTTGAGATGGGAGGCGCAGAGAAGTGAAGCACGGAGAGGCAACCAACCAGCAACCAACCAGCAACCAACCAGCAACCAACCAGCAAACCAGCAACCAACCAGCAACCAACCGGCAACCAACCAGCAACCAACCAGCAAACAAGCAAACCAACCAACCAAACCAACCAACCAACCTTAGGAAACAGCTTTTCCTGTGCTGGTGCTGCAGCAGTTGCTGCTGCTGCTGGTGCTGCTGCTGCATACCAATGGGTGGATGGAGCATGACAGGGAAGGCGGAAGTCCAAGGGACATGTGAGGGGAGGGGACGAGCGGAAGAAAAATATGAGTTGAGTCAAGTGTGCATGTAGAAGCAAACGTGCCCCTCACGCAAGTGACCCTGACAAGGTTAGGTCCCACTGTGCTGGTGTGACAGTCAAGTGCAGGGGCGCCGTGACAGCATACAGTGGCTGAGCACCGAGTGAGTGGCTGCACATACAGTTTTTGCTCTGAGGCACCACAAAAGAGTAGGCACCTGGGAAAACCTGATAACATACTTTTGAAAGGCATACTTTTGAGCTGATTGACAACACGGAGTCACCTGGGGAAGGTTGACCAGGCACCCGTGTGGCAGGAGCAATTCCGCCCGCCTATGTTTTAGGCGCCCCAGAATCTTTGAGGCATCTACTGCTGAGGGGCCCAAAAAGTAATTACCTGGGGAGGGTTGGCCGGGTGCTCGTGCGGCAGGAGCAGGTCCACCCCATGAGGGTGTTGCAGACGGGACATATGCTTGACCTGGGAGGCAACAGGGGAGAGAGACGGACAGAGTGTAACAATGTAACGAGGTGACCTTTGAGTCGACTCAAAAGTCACCAGGCGCTCATGCGGCAGGAGAAGGCACCCCCCATGAGGGTGCTGCAGATGGGACGCATGGGGGGTGCATAACCTGGGAGATGAGACGCATGCTTGACCTGGGAGGTAACAGAGGGGGAGACAGACAGACAGAGAGGGTAGAGACAGGGGAGAGACGTGAGGGAGGAGGATGATGAGAAGATGAAAGCACCAGATATGGGCGAAATGCAAGAGTGAGAGGGCATGAGCCCTCCAGTGTAGGGGTCTGGAATGGTGGCCCCGGCGGCAGGGGGTTGGCCTGACCTGTGATGCACAAAATGCTTTTGATTCGACTCAGAACACACACACGCGCACACACACCCATCCACCTCCAGTGTACGCATCTGGATGGAATGGTGGCTCCGAGCAGCATGGCAGTGGCCTGGCCTGTGTTTGAGGCGCCTAAAAAATAGCACCTCTCCCTCACGCACACGCACCTCCGGTGTAGGGGTCTGGAATGGTGGCTCCGAGTGGCATGGGGTTGGCCTGGCCGGTGTTGCGCAGAATGAAGTCCACCACCTGCTCGCGGTACCCCAGAGGCAGGTCCTGCGACAGCAGCCACTTGTCCGCCACGTCGTACGGGTTGTCTGGTGGAGGGGGACACAGGGGGAGGGAGAGACCAGGGCAGCAGAGGGCGATACTCGTTGGGGCAAAAGGGTCACTGGAGAAACCCCCAAGAAAAAAATGGCTCAATGCTCGCGGTACCCCAGGGGCAGGTCCGGGGAGAGCAGCCACTTGTCAGCCACGCTGCAGGGGGTAGATCTGGTGGAGGGCAGGTGATTTATCGGAGCGCAGAGGCAGGTATGGGGCGGCAGAAGGAACAATGGTGCGGGAAACAATTCACGAGGGGAAAAGGCCACAGGGAAGTTAACCAGGTGCAGTGCAGCCGAAGTACGGCACCCCAGACATCTCCAGTCATTCGGAATCCGGTGCTTGTGAAGGTAGCAAACCTTCGAGCAGGAGGCAAGGTAGGAGCAGTGGGACTGACTGGGACTGACTGGGACTGACTGGGACTGACTGACTGACCTCCATGGTTGTACGGCAGCTTGCGCACAGGCACCCCATCACCAATGTCCACATCAAACACTAGAGAGAAGGAAATAGGGGGGAGAGGGAGGAGGGGAGGCGTGAGGGTGACCCAGTGGGTTGTTAGGGCAGCGGACAAACATTAGCGTGAACATGAGCTTGTGTAAGTGTGTGCGTGTACTGCCAATAGATAAAACTCAACAGCAGCAACAGCAGCAACAGCAGCCGCAGCAGCAGGAGCAGCAGCAGCAGAAGAAGAAGCAGCAGCGGCAGCAGCAGCAGCAGCAGCAGCAGCAGCAGTAGCAGCAGCCGGAGCAGCAGCACGCACCGTAGTCATACTGCTTGCCCTCGAACATCTTGGCATCAATGGGCTCCGACGGACCATCCACCACCTCGCCTATCTGTTGGGAACAGCCCAAACCAACCCCCAACAGCTCATCCAAACAATCCGAGTCAATCCACAGAAATGCAGCCACACAAGCAGTCAATACGCAGTGGTGCGTTTGCACGAGGCGTGAAAGATCTGGCTGGAAACCAGAGAGACGCAAGGAGAAGTATGGGTTGATCGGCTGGGTGAAAGAGGGCTAGATGGCAGATTGAAGAGCGCACATTGGTTGGCAGAGGGGCTTGCTGCACTCACTCGCTCCCAGTTGAACTCCTTGTGGCTCCACTGGTACGCCACCCCCACATCGTTCTCGCGAACTATCAGCGTCTGCCCGTCCTTGTGACCTGCCACCCATGCAACCATGCCCACATGCCCGCATGCGCACATGCACACATGCCCGCATGCGCACCAAGGCAACCTCAAGGTGAGTTATGGGTCGACTCGAAAGGCATCTGACCTACCATACATGTGCGTATGCGCACGTGCACATTTGCATGCATGCACACCGTACCCTCAAGCAAAAGGGGGTGTATGCGTACTGTTCTGTGCCACGCAGAGGGGGCAGAGGGGGCAGAGGGGGCAAGAGGGGTCTCTCACCTGGCTGCTGCAGGGCCTCAATGCCTGGGAGCTCGTCCACGTTCACCCCTCCCACTGTCTTCCTGCCAGGGACAGGAGGGAAGAGATACATGGAGACATAGGGCGTGGGCAGGGCGTGGATAGTGCATAGTCAGGGCGTGGGACATGAGAGAGCAGACACGAGTAGGGGCAGGAGGCATGGAGCAGAGTAGGTGGCGAGGTGATGCGCGTGGTTGCTAATGTGCGTGTGTGGAGAAGGCAGGGGAAGGGGTAGAGAGAAGGGAGGAAGGAGGGAGGGCGAGAGAGAGAGTTGAAGAGGAAGGGAGGGAAGAACAACACACAAAGAAAGAGCAACGGAAGCAGTCTTACTTCTTTCTGCAAGACTTGACCCTCTCCTCATAGGTGGCCCGCAGACCCTCCGGTGCCACACGGGCGGAATCTCTTGTCCATATGCGGATGGCGCCATCAGCAGAAGCCGTGATAAGGTCACCTGAGGGCAGGAAGGCGACAGCCCAGACGCAGGACGGGTGCTCCAGCACCTGCATGCACTCGCCGTCTGAAGCACATAGGAAAAGGGGACATGCGAGAGAGGAGGAGGGAGAATGGTGAGATGTAAGCAAGTCTCCTGAAGGGAGGAAGAAGACAGCCCAGCCCAGACGCAGGAGGGGTTCTCTCCAGTATCCGCAGGCACTCGCAGTCTGAATGACACAGGGAAAGAAGGAGGGACAGAAGTATCTGGAGGAATCATCTGCCACTGGACAAGAGAGTCCTGAGGAAAGCCCGCATCTACGACCGACTCCAAGTCTAGCTGATTCCATCACACAACAACTATCCCGTGCATCATCCCCACTACAATCACGTACCCCTCCATACGCGGGCAGTGGCGTCCTCACTGCCTGACGCAATCAGCTCCCCGCCTGCTGTGGCTGCCACGGAGTACACGAGCGCTGTGTGCCCCACCATCTCAAGGAGAGGCTGCAGGGAGAGGTCCCACAGCTTCACAGACCTAAACGGGGGGAACGGGAGGGAGGGAGGGATAGAACGAGAAAGAGGAAGGAGTTTTGAGACGAATCAAATCGCCCCCCCCTGGCTGTGGAGGGTGCCACGGAGTAGACGAGCGGTGTGCGTCCCATGAGGGGAGAGGATGCAGGGAGAGGTGCCATAGCTTCAAAGGGTTGGGGGGAGGGAGGGAAAGGGAGAGAATGAAGGAGTGGACGACAGTTTTGACACGCCTCAAAAGGTAATGAAGGCAGCAAGGAAACGGGAGGCAGCAAACGGTAACGAAGGTGGGGACCAAGGGGGATGGGTGAAGGATCACTGCACATAGAATTCGCACCTCAGGATTTTTGCCGACCCGGAAATCGGCATATCCACCTGCATCACCCGTTTATCCATCATCTATGCACTCACTCAGCAACCCGTCTACCCACCCATGCATCTAACCACCCATTCCCCCCTCCACCCATCCAATCAAGCAGTCATACACACATTCACGAAATGGCCAAGAGCCCACTCACCCATCATGGGAGGCTGAGAGGAGGCCGACTGCGGGCAGCAGTGCGAGGCCACGCACAGAGTCTGGTGTGCCCGGGAACACAGCAACAACAACACACACACACACACACACTCACGCACGGTGACACACACGCAAGAATGGCCATGCGAAAATGCACACAACGACATACATACAGACGTGATGGGAGGAGGGGGGGGGGGGGTCGCTAAAGAAAATGATGGGGTGGGGGAAGAGGGAGAGGACAGGCATAGGAAACATGCACAGCAGAGCACGGCAGGGCAGGGATGTGCAGTGGACGTGGTGCGATGGGGTAATGGCCTTACGGAAACAGGAATAGTGCTAACTGAGAATTCCAAGGGGGGATCGGGGAAAGGAGATAATTGGGAGACAGACAGAGGGTAGGAGGGTGGGGAGACAGTGGGGAGAATGGGGAGTGGTGAGAAGGGATAGTGGTATCGATAGTGGAGCGGAGAGAGGAGAATGGATTGCAGGCGGGAGGGAGGATGGAGGAAAGAGGAGAGCACCTGAATGAGCCCGGACGGACTTTATGCAGGAGGAGCCTTCCCAGCACCGAATGGTGCAGTCTCCTGACCCTGGAAGGGTGTACACATCCACTCACGCACACGCATGCACACACACACACGCGCGCGCACACACAAGCACACAGCTCACACATGCACACAAAAAAAGGGGGGAGAGTGAGTGGGGACAGGCGGAAAGATGGAAGAAAGCAAGATGGAAAAAGCCAGAGTGAGGGAGAGGCGGGAAAGGAGAGTGAGAGTGGTGGTGGTGTTACCTGAGAAGAGCAGTCCGTTGGCAGCAGCAGCGAGGCACAGCACTGATGACTCGTGGCCTGACAGCTGCTGCTGGCAGTGACCGTCCCTCCACACCCGAATGCTCCTGCCAGAGGAAATGGGGAAGGAAAAGTGAGAGAGAAAAGTGAGAGAGGCACGGGAGAGAGGCAAGTGAGTGAGAAAAGTGAGAGAAAAAGGTGAGAGGCAAGTGAGAGAGGCAAGTGAGAGAGGCAAGTGAGAGAGGCAAGTGAGAGAGGCAAGTGAGAGAGGCAAGTGAGAGAGAAAAGTGAGAGAGGAAAGTGACGGAAAGAGAGAGCCGGGAAGTAGCTGGGAAGGTGCGTGAATGTAGACAAGCCGCTATTAGACAAACGTACAAACTGGTATCTCTTGAAATATTCACCAGGACCACCACCAGGAGAGGGGAACTTGAGTGACAAGCAGCACACTTCAACCAACCACACACACCGAGTGATAACCACTCACTTGTCCACAGAGCACGTTGCGATGTCCCCGGCTGCTGTTGCTGTGACCCCAGTCACCTGCTGCTCGTGCCCTGCCAGTCGCTGCGCCACCTCCCCTGTCTCCAAATCCCACACCAGGACCAGGCAATCCATCCCCCCCGATACTAGCACACCCTTCCCCGCTCCTGCAGCATCACTCGTACCCTCTCCTCCTCCTCCTCCTCCTCCTGCTGCTGCTGCAGTTTGCCGCCCAGGGATCCACGCCAGGGGGCCCACGAAGCTCGTGTGCCCGACGAGGGTTTTATCCAGGCCGAATTCGCTGCCCGCTGCGGAGGCTGCTGACGTGGACGCTGGCGTGCGTCGCCACAGCTTGACGGTCTTGTCCCGGGATGACGTGGCAAAGCAATCCTCGCTGATCACAGCGATCCCTCGCACCTGGGTTTGGAGGCATGTGTGGGAAGACGGCTTGTTAGAGGTGGACTTAACCCACTGAGATCCTGTTACGAAGGCTTCACGTCCTGTTGAGGCTGTCTGATGGTGGATTTGTGATATCACGTAACTGTGACCAGTTTCGGGGGTAGCGGGGAAACATGCCAGGTGGCCGTCAAACTAGTCAGCTAGGAAGCTTTCAGACGAGGAATCTGACAAACAGCGGTCAATACATCGAAGAACACTACTTATCAGGGAGACAAGGAATCCAGAGTAAGCTCAGCGCGCATGAGATCAATCTCGGTTTTGATTCAGAAATCAAGCCGAAGGGGAGACCAAGTCAAAGGGAAGGAGTACCACACGCGGCGGACGGAAGAGCAAGGCAAGAGATGATATCAACTCACGTCCTCGTCATGTGCGAAGGACTCAAACGACAACTGGTACTCGCCACCACCCATCTCTGCGACGCTTCTTCGACGCACAGTCTTTCGACACTAGCGTCGCGACCCTCTTAGATACCAGATAGGCCCCGTCGACGCGACCCGGCTAACGCTCAATAAGGAGCTATGTCGGCGACGTGTAGGACGAGCTGCGCGGCTGACAGCTGAGTGGTCAAATTCCATATGTGTGATCTGTTTGTAGGCACAGGATGCTTATAAGGGGGCTCGTTACGTCGACCACTCCGGGAGGAAAGTGTAGTGGAATACACCATTTGCGTCCTACTGGACTGTTATTCTTTTCCCAAACAACTACAGCGATGGTAAGTACGGTGCAAGTACAGGCACAGGGAGGGAGGGATTCTTGACTGGCACTAGGTACTCATAATATACCGGCCTTGCGTACAATGACAAACCGAGATTACAAGAAAATCGCGAACACTAGCTACATCATACCAGGAAAATGCTTTTCAACACACCAAACAAGCCAAGCAATGGCTCCACTTAATAAGGCAAACAGTGCTATGATAGACCCTTCGCTTAGTCAGTTCTTGTCACTGGGGGTAGTGGAGGAGGGAGGGGGGGTCGCAGGAGCCACAGGGGTCGCAGGGGTCGCAGGGGTCGTAGGGGGAGGCACAGCAGCCTTGGTAGCATCAGTGGTCTCTGAGTCGTCTCCCTTGGCAGCAGCCTGCAGCTCTGACTGGAACTCCTTTGCAGCCTGGAAAATAGAAGAGAATTTAGAGGAAAAAAAATCAAGTAACATGACAAGCCAATGACGCCACCCAAGCTTATGAGCCTCCAAGACTAAGAAACAGAGGGAGAATGTACCGGGTGAACGGACACCACGCCAATGGCTAATCAGGGTTACAAACTGCTAGGTGCACAACCCACAAGAAGAGCAACTTGCGACCTCGCATAAACCCCACACACACTTGCATGATTTGCAAGAATGCATGACTATTATCCAAGCAAGACATTTCACAAGTATCAACCCAATGCAAGCAGCCTCATGCGTTATATCGCAATGGAAGCTTGGTTGCCTTAGGATAAGAAAAAGATAAGGATAGCCCGTCAAAAGAGGGGCTTGCTCACTGTGCACTTTCGCGTTATTCCACGGGTCCTAAGAGAAGCACCCGCCAAATCGATTAGCAGCACCGCAAGTCGCTCAAAGGCTAAACATGCAGTAGCGGCGACCAATCGTCAGTCAAACAGCACTCACCTCCTGGAAGCCCTTTACGGTCTTCCCTAGGCCCTTGCCCACTTCAGGCAGCTGCTTCGGGCCGAAGAGCACGAGAGCGACACCGCCGATGACAAGCAGCTCCGGAAGGCCCAGCCCGAACAGCCCGCACACCACCCGCGACGAGCCCTGGCGACCAGAGCGAAGCTGGGGGGTCGCAAAGGAGACAACCGCGCTGTGTCTGAGGGACCCGGCGGGAGAAGCGCCAAGAAAGGTGCTTCGGACGGCTCCTGTGGAGGGGTTGTTGGAGGCGAGGATGGGAATCATGGAACGGATATCACGCAACGGGATGGGAGACGACAAGAGGGAAGGGAGTGCGGAGGAGGCGAAGCAAAGAGTGACGGAGAGAGGGCGGGCGGACGCGGAGAGACGGAGGGCAAGAGAGAGGGAGAGAGAGAGAGAGAGAGAGAGAGAGAGAGAGAGAGAGAGAGAGAGAGAGAGAGAGAGAGAGAGAGAGAGGGGAGAGAGGGGGAGAGAGAGAGAGAGGGGAGAGAGGGGGAGAGAGAGAGAGAGGGGAGAGAGGGGGAGAGAGAGAGAGAGAGAGAGAGAGAGAGAGAGAGAGAGAGAGAGAGAGAGAGAGAGAGAGAGAGAGAGAGAGAGAGAGAGAGAGATGAAGGGGCAAGGAGGAAGCGGAAGAGAGCGGCAGAATGGAAAAGAAAGAGAGAGAAAGGGTGCGAGAGAGAAAGCGAGAGGGGGGAGGGGATAATGGGCGAGGGAGAGAGAGGAAAAAAAAATAGAGACGACCGCGAAGAGAATGTAAGACCTAACCGAAGAACGAAAGACTGGAACTTACCCCTGCACACAGCGTGTTGACGGACTGAAGCAGTAACTGAGGCTGGCACAACCAGTGCAGGGCACACGGTCGCAGCCATTAGCGCCATCTCGTTACGCTGCCTAAGGCTCGACGGACTGTGTCAGGTGGGTCGTCAGCGAACAAGAAACTCCACACAAGATCTACAAATGCCTGACAAAACTTGTGTTCATTTCACAAGACCATACTATCCTAGATGTTTGCCTTGTGTGGGCGGGACAGAGGGACTCGGGGCGAGGGGACGGGGAAAGGCGAGGGGGCTAGGATGATGAAAACACCAGACAGGCATCCTCGTCCTGTGTGGGGTGGCGTACAAGCGAGCGGGAAGGGGATTGACGTGTCAGACTGCCAGGTGCCTTGCTGTCAGTGGGCCAAGCTGGATATTGAGTTAAGGTTTATGACATCAGCGAATCTCTTGGGCTTCGAACGGTTTAGAAATCATGTACCTACACTTTGATAGGGATAGGTCTAAATGGCTAAATGTGGAATGGAGAAATCAAGCTTTAGTGCGATTAATAAATAACAATCTTCTTGGGTTTCCTGAATGCTAACATGGATAGGTGGATTTATTAATGGATTTTTTTACAGGTTAAAAATGGTTTGGTTGATTGAGTCGCTACTATTGATTATAAGACCTTGTAATCATGTGAATTAAAGCGAGAGATGCATGATGTAACGAGCAGATATACAACAATACAAAATAAAATGCACACTTAATTTCCTGTAGTGGTGTATAACTATAGGGTAGTGCCAGCAGGAAATGGAAGATAAGGGCACGCCGTCAAAGTATATATTTAAATATATCTTTGTGTAGGCTTGGTAGTTGTGCTACTTACTGAATCCTACTGTAGAAATGACAACCCCCCTTCTTGTATCTCCTTCTCTTCCAGTCTAACACCTCTTCTCTCTCGTCACTTTCTCCCACCTAAAACCTCACGCCATTTCTATGGCTTCTCTACCTACCTAGCTACCTAGCTTATTTAACATGGTATCAGAGCAGGTTCAACCTACTGGACCTTCTTTTCTCGCTTTCGCCGCGCACTCCCCTTTCTCTCGCACTACCATGGCGGCCGCCCCGTGCTGCTGTGGCGGCGTTGTCGTGCCGCCGGCCGCGTCGTACTGCCGCGGCGGTCTCGACGCGCTGCTGTGACAGCCTCGTCGCGCTGTTGTGGCGTCGACGTCAAGCCGTGGCGGCGTCGTCGTGCTGTCGCGGCGGCGCCGACGCGCTAGCGCACGAGCGGCAGCGGGCCGCGCACCGTGTTAGCCGCGTCCAGCCCGCCCGCATGCCAGTAAGCACTGCGCCAGCGATGGCGCCGCGCTGAAGTTCCGCCCCCCACCCCTTCCCTCTTCCCCTCCTCTGTCTTTCCCTTCCTCCTCGCCGCAGCTGCTAGCAACCTCGTGCCGTCCTCCCCCTCGTCGTCGCAGGTTGAGCCACGCCGCCTGGTGCGTTGGGTGCCGCAGCCGCTGTCGCCGGGTGCCTCGATGCCGCCGCCGCCGCCGCCGCATGTGCTGCACGTCCTGCCGTCGCAGCCGCCGCAGGTGCTGCATGCTCTGCCGCCGCCGCCGGCGCAGTCGCCGACGCCGCCGCTGCGACCCGCCGTCGACGTCGCCACCTCGCTTGCCGAGGGGTCGACCGGCTGGTTAACGTCACTACTGCTGCAGGGAATGGGGGTGCAAGGATGTAGGGGTACTGCGGGTGGGATGGACTTGCCACTACCAAGCCTAGGGGGTGTGTCAAAGTATTTATTTAAATTTATGTTTGTGTAGGCTTGGTAGTTGTGCTACTTACTGAATCCTACTGTAGAGAGGACAACCCCCCTTCTTGTATCTCCTTCTCTTCTAGTCCAACACCTCGACTTTCTCGTCACTTTTTCCCACCTAAAACCTCATGCCATTTCTATGGCTTCTCTACTTACCTAGCTACCTAACTTCTTTAACACGCGCTGCATTGCGTCAGTTTTGGAGGATCGTGGCGAAAAAATCGATTGACTGCTTTTAAAAGTCCAGGTCCCAAATTAGACAGGCAACATCAAACTGGGCCCAGTTTGATTCGCGCAGTTTCCACCGTTAGATCGGGCTTGCCGAACCCAACTCTCGTCAACTTCGGTTATATATTAGGAATATATATAAAAAGTAGCCTAGCTAGAGGCAGTTTATATAGGGTACACTACATACCGTATTTACCCCGCTAAAGACCGTAGGGTCTTAAGCTGCCCCGATTTTTTTTGGGGGGGTGTGTCTTTTAATCGGATGCAAATACAGAAGACCCGGGGTCTATGTTATACACTTAAGATTCTAACACTGCAGCTAGAAAATTGTTACAGCAGCACCTTGAGCTCCTCTCCGAGACTCGCAGGTTCGGCTAGGGTGACGCGAGACCTGTTTTCTGAGCTCGCGGTGGGAAAATCTCGCTAGTCAGGGCACACCATATGGCACCACCTCATTGGCAACGTGAAAATGGAAAGAATTGTGCTGACGCGAACAATCAAGCTGGCCCCTAGTTGACTGGAAAGGGGTCTTATCCTACAATTGCCAAAAAGGGGGTCCTCAATATTGGGATGCACAGGATAAGACTCACCCGGGTATAAAGACCCATGGGGCTTAAATTATAGGGAATCTTTTAGCCGTGTGTATACGGTAGATACAAACACGGTCATTGGACATGTTGTCAACTTATATATTATGTATATATATTTGTGTAGGCTTGGTATGTGCTAGGTGTCCTACAATGGATCCTACTGTGGAGGGTACAACACCCTTCTTGTATCCCTCTCTCTTCTAGTCCATCTCTCTTTTCTCTCGTCACTTTTCTCCCTAGCTAAAACCTCTCGCCATTCTCATGCCTAGCTAGCTTCTTAACTCCTTTCAACACCCTGCTCTCGCCAGGTTTCCAATCAACGGTTCTAAGTGTGCTTACAAAATTGGGACTTCATGTGTCCCTGCGTCTCAGCCGTCAGATCCACGCGTGGGCCATCTCGAACTCAAACGATAGTGTGTTTTTTGCCCAACTTGCCCGTTGACTTGCGTGAACTAATGTAGGATCTGGGCTTTAAGGATTTTGATTTTGACTCAATGAAAACGATCTCCAATATCGACCTTGTACGCCACATAGGCATATTCCAGATTTGTGGCTTTCGATGTTGAGTATCGATTTGCAGCTGGACAGCATGTATTTTCGCATAAGAGTTTGTCGAAACCCAGAAACCCTCCCTACACCTTCTCAATTTCCATCGGACACTACAGTGCGGCTTGAGACATGAGGATTTGCCTTGTCACTTATTTTCATAATGGCGAGTTGGCGAAGCCCTTCTGATTTCGTGGCATTTGGGGTGGGGCGATCTGGTACTTCGTCGAGGAGGATCGTTAGTGTTTTGGAAGTGCGATTGATTCCCAGAATCGTATCGAAAGTAATCCTCCCTGTCAACATATATTTGTATATGTTATAGCTTGGATAGGTGCATGCTCATAGAGAGTACAACTCCTTAGGAAAAAACCACCATGTATCACTCATTCCAATTTATTGCGTTATTCTGAGATGGTATCATGCTAGGTTAGGCCCCCCTACCCGCTTACGCTTCCGCCCCTAGCCCTAGCCCTAGCCCTAGCCCGTGTCCTAGCCGTGTCCAAGCCGTGCCCTAGCCCTAGCCGCGCTTGTGCCCTAGCTCTGTCCGCGCCGGCCCCGTCACTTCGCGCTGGCCCCGTTAGTTCGTGCCGGCCACGCTAGTTCGCGCCGACCCCGCTAGTTCGCGCCGGCCCTGCCACTTCGCGCCGACCCCGTCGCTTCGTGCTGGCACCGTCACTTCGCACTGGCCCCGTCAGTTCGCGCCGGCCACGCTAGTTCGCGCCGACCTCGCTAGTTCGCGCCGGCCCCGTCACTTTGCACCAGCCCCGCTAGTCCGCGCTGGCCCTGCTAGTTCGCGTCGGCCCTGCTAGCCCGTGCCAGCCCCGCCACTTCGCGTAGGCCCCGCTAGTTCGCGTCGGCCCTGCCGTTTCGCGCCGGCCCTGCTAGTCCGCACCGGCCCCTGATCGCACCAGCCCCTGTTCGAGCCGGCCCCAGTTCGCGCCGACCCCCTTTCCCGCCGTACCGCGGTGCTGCCGTGCCGCCGCGCTGACCTGCTGCCGTGCCGCCGTGCCGCCGTGTTGCTGTGCCGCCATACCGTTGTGTCGCCATGCCACCGTGTCGCCGTGTTGCCGTGCCGCCGTGTCGCCGTGCCGCTAGGGCCGCCGTGCCGCGGTGCGGTTGTCAGCTGCTACGGCCGTGGTGATGGCGGACGCTGTGCTCTGCCTGGACGCGGAGGGTCGGGCGATCGACTTTGAGGCATGGCTCGTCGACCTCCGCCGTTAGCTTACAGGTCAGCGCTATGACGGAACTCCCTGGCCGTCCATGTCGACGGTAAGCTTCCCTACCCTGCCCTGCCTGCCGCCCTCCCTGACGCTCCCATGTCTGCTGAGTGTGAGGCCAATGCCACTGCTGAGCTTTCCCGCGCTATCTAGGAGTCGCACGACGCGGTAGTGCACCTTGCTATTAGTCACGCCCTCCCCGTGTCTGAGCATCCCCGCTTTATTGCTGTAGCGAATGCAAAGGAATACTTAGATGCAGTCATTGCGCGCTAGTCCACTCCTGCCTCCGCCTCAGCCGGCCGTCTGATCTTCCCCATATTGTTCCCGGATCTTGCTTCCTTCCCCACTGTCGCTGACCTTGCCACTCATCTGCGTGCACTTGAGACTAGTTATCGCACTGCTAGCACTGAGGCCCAGCTCACTGCATTCCCTCCTCCCCTCTGCGCTACCCTTTGCCTCATTGCCACACGGCTTCCTGGCCGCCTTGCCACTGCCTGCGACCACTTCCTTAGTCAGCACCCAATTGACCTCGCCCTTCCTGCCTTTGTCACCGCCCTGTCCGCCATAGAGACCCGCCAGCGCACTATTGCTCAGTCTAACAGTATTGCGGCGATCCTTTCTTCTAGGGTCGTGCTCCCTCCCAGTGCACTTACTCTGACCTCTCTGCCACTATTGATGAGACGGCCCCTGCTGCTAAGAACGCTGCGGCGGCCTCGGAATAGGCTCGTCAGGGTAGGGGACGTCGGGCCTGGGTGGGGTGTGGCGGCGGGAGGGGTGCTGGGGGTGGCGGAGGTAGTGGAGATGGCGGCGGTGGTGGAGGGGATGGTGGTGCAGACGAGGGGACCGGGTCTGATGC